AAGTCCTTTCTTAAATAAAACTAGTTTATTCTTTCTCGATACAACTTTGCAATACACAGAATTTCCACAGTCATTTGAAGTCTATTAGTAGTTGTGATAAAAATTAACCTCAATTCAAAAATAAAAACAATTGTGTATTTTTTTTATACTTGAGATATTAGTTAGAATGATTTTCATAGGCTCAGAACTAATTAATAACTACTACTTATGCATTACAGCTACATAAGTATATATAGAAAGAAACTATGAGGTGGTTAAAAATTGGCTAAAGCCTAGTCCTTGTTTTAATGGACATAAAAATGAAGATAACACAACTTGTTCTTTAAACTTCATTATCATTTGTTTATAAATTCTTGTTTATAAATAAAATTAACACTAATATTTTTTGGCTTAAATGGTTTTGTAACTTAGTGATAAGATGCCCAACGGATGACAACATTTTCTCGGAAAGAACAGGTGTAGCCAGAATGCTAAAATAAGCCAAATACATCAAACAAGGAAACAAACAACGTTTATTCACCACTGAACTGCATCTTCTTGTTCAGAAACAAATACAACTATGAAGTAAATTTCTACTTTAGTTTAAGCAAGTGTGGAGCTTTCAATATCAGTTCTGTTATCATTGTGTAACTTCCCCAGTAGCAGGTTCAAAGCATTTCTTTTATCACTGGCTACTAGGAACTTTTTCTGATATTTTTTTCAGTAGGATATAAATCTATATTTTCAAGTTGTACTGTATGCAACATGCTTGCTACTTTTTTAATGATCATTTGTTTTAGTTTAATGCCAATTAATTTCAGATTATGTTACAGATCCAAGAAAGACAGTAATTTCAAATTCATTTTTGGTCTTGTCTTAATAAAATAAACCAATAGAAAGCCAAGGTTTTCATATATCAAATGATTTATTATATTACGTTGTTTTCTGTACAGAAAAGTTTTAATTTATCTTTCAGTACCAGCTTCATTCCTACAGGAAACACATAGACTAGCTTGGATAATTTGTAACGGCTGTTGTCGCATAATTAGAAAGCCAGAAAAATTGTGATAGTTATGGGACATTGTCTGCTTTTTCTATGTTCTTTGGTTCACTATTTAATTAAACAAATATTATTTAGTGCACCACTACCATTAGTATAAGAAAAAGTAGGGTTAGGCGTCATCGACAGTCAACAGCAAAAAAAAAGAGAGAAAAGAAAGAAGGCCCAGGTAAGTAATTTATCTCTTGTTCTTCACCTGTATTAGTTATTTAATGGAAAAATACGAAACTCTTCAGTTTAGTTAAGGCTAGATTAGGTAAATTAAATAACAACAATACAAAATTTTTAAGAGGCACGTATATGAGCAGCTTGTGGGAAATGTAATTCAAAAGCATAAGGTGAGCTTCACATTCCCTAAGTGATTAACAACTTGTATTAGAATGGTGCGAATAGTTCTAGTAGTTAGACATGGTTCAAAGGGCAATAAAACAATAAAATTTAAGTATAAATAGATGTATACTGTTACAAGTTTAAAGCTACCTAGGTTAAACTAATGTAGTTTCATGTTACAATTTGAAGTCATTCTAGAAAGAAAAAAACAATAATTTAGGCTTATTATGATTTTTTCTGTTGGTTACGAGGTCGGTCGAATTGACCGATTCCATTTTGAGATACGGTAGAGAAAATAACAGATAAACTATAAAGTTTTACTGAAAAATAATAACATTTTAAATGTATTTAGGAGGTTTTATTGATTATGTTGAGAAAATAATAACAATATAATATAGTTTTACTGAAAAAAACGTTTGAAATGTATTTAGGAGGTTCCAGAGATTACACAAATGACATTTGAGATCTTTTAGATGAAGAAAGGTATTTTTAATCTGACTGGTCTAAAAAAGACTCAATATATTCTTGAACAAATCTTTAGTAAAAATAATTCATTAAAAAACTGATTTTGTGTACAAATGATTTGTAATGATTACTAAAAGTCTGCCAAATTTTGTAAAGTTTTTGACACATACTGTATTAAAAGTTATAGTATTAAAACTATATACAAGCAAAAATGGTTATTCTAGTTGGCTAGGCTGCAAGCACTAACCGGGTGCATTCCAAGCATCATGGTCAGATTACTACAAAGTGTATGTGTATGCAATATGCACAAAACAATGTGTGAAATTACTGTAATGTGCCATTTGGCAGGAATTTCTAAGAAATGAACATCAGCTTTGGCATATGAAACTGAAATGTTACGGTACTTCCACTATGTTGTTCGAGATCTTGAATGATTTACACATTACATTAAGCAAAGTGATTGGCAATTGGGGTTGTTCTGATTCGCAAATTGCAATGCGAACCCGAATATTTTGTCCCGTCTTGTGGGTTATCTTCAATATTTGTTTGCCCTGGGTGTTTTATTTTAAATGATTATTTATTGCACCTATATTACTAAAGCTGTGAAATATATATTTCAGTTTGACATTTCACTTTCTTCTCTTTTCTTATCAAAATTTTCCCACATGCCACAAAGATTTATTGCTAATATTACTTATCCTTCTCCTTAAAAACCAAAACTATAAATTATGTCAACCAATAAAAGCAATGAGCAATTAAGTGCATTCTGCACAAGTGCATCATTGATACAAAAAGCATGCAATGGAAAATTACCAAACTAATTAATAGCACTATGACTTATTAGTGTGTTAATAATAAATTGTGTGTAACATCACACAACTGAAAGAAAAAACTTGCAATTCAAACTTACTTCTATAATCTAAACATGTTTCTAGCTCATGCATTTTTTTGTACTTATCTTTATATGTTGAGCCATCTCAATCCTAATATTATCCTCTATGATAACTGGTTTGACTTCAAGGCTTAAAATAAGATAATAAACTTAATGGACAAAATTTCCAGCAATCCTGGAATTTTGCCAGACACTTGATTTTGTCATATATTTGTTTTTCTTCCAAAATTAAAATTATTATGCAATACTGTGATCAAGGGCATTGTTGTTTATGAATAACAAGTTTTCTCAAAAACTGTCATTATGTTTTACTTGTAAATTTCTTCCTGAAACAAATATTATGGGCAAACGTGAATACTGATACGTAATGCTTTTTCAACTGTTTTTTATCAAAATGTTACAATGGAAAGTGAATGGTATTAAAAGAATATATATAAACAATGTTTGAAAAAAATCTTTCAGTAAAACTGCAACTTTTTTACTAACTTATTACATTTTAAACATACAGTATAGTACTGTAATTTTAATTAGTCTTTATATTTTGAAGTGAAAGAAGATATTATGAATAATTTTATTATTTATTTGCATACTATTTTTGTTTGTTTTTAGTTAAGCACAAAGCAACACAATGGGCTATTTGTGCTATGCCTACCTGTCAGAACCTGGTTTTTAGCATTACAAGCCTTCAGACTTACTGCTGTGCCACTGGGAGGCTTGCATACTATTAATGTGGAGGACTCTACTTTGGTTGTAAAGCACACAACACAGATTTTATAAACAAGTCTTATTAATCCTATGTATACAGATAGGGGGTTCAAGTGTGCATGTCATGACTTTTACCGAGTTACATTCAAGATTAAATTAAATAACTTTATTATCAACTTATAGTAATATACTTGATATCAAAATATAATTAATAAGTCAAATGTTAATATTATACAAGTTTTAATTTCTTAACTTCAAAAGGAACTATTTAAATAAATTCTCAATCTTCACTTCTCTGTATCACATGTCACTTGTTCTCTCCAAATTGCCTACTTTAGACTAATTACTAATCCTATTTGATGTCCTTAGTTTAACATAAATCACACATTTTTAGTACAGATATTAAGACCAAATTTAAATTTTTATAGTTTCAACCTTTTTTCTTTATGGAGATAAAAATCAAAATGCCAAATCCACACATGTTACATCCTCCTATTGCATTCTATCTTCCAAAAAATGTCAGTCATTTTATCTAACATTTGCTATTAGATTATCTATACACCTGGAAAAAGT